TTCATATAATTATCTCTCTACAAAATCCTTTCACTGGCTCTCTTTATAAAAATAATGCAAACTTTTGGCTACCATTTACTGAACTCCTTATTTTATATATTTATACACACACACATGCACACACATTGTACATGTGTCCTGGAGTTTATACACATATGAACCCACATTTCCTAATTCTCATAGCAGCACATTTTATGGATGAGAAATTATATGATTACATAACTGTGCAAGGTTACAGCCATGCAAAGTGTTCAAGTCAGAATACAAATGTCTGGGTCCAAAGCCCATGCGCTTCCACCATTAACCAGCCCTGCTTGGCACGGGTGAATCTGGCACTGGAAGCTCATTACAATTCTTGGCTCTCCTGCCCAGCTTCGTTTCGCCCAACTTTCCACCATCAGTAATTTGCTCCATCACAGCAAGGCTACTTAGAGCTCCACCCATCTCCACAAACACTTTATCAGGCAAAGATATCACCGTGGTCTCTCGTCAAAATGCAGATTCTTATTGAGTAGTTTGGATCCAGGAGTTTTGCATACAATTCTGCATTTTTAACAAGCTCCAGATTATGCCAGTGTTACTGTTCTGTAGTCCACACTGAGCATGAAAGTACTTTCCCTACAAGCTTTTGCCCCTACCCTTGTGGTACAATGCTCCTCACTCCAATGCTCGATAGTTGCACCAACAGCACCACCTTTGCTCCAGTACCTTCCCCAGTCTTCATCTCACTCTGACCTTTACTGAATCCAGGCAGCTTTCCAGCAGGACTACCAGGATCAGCACCTTGGTGGTGGTGCTCTTCTCACTGTATGCCTGCATTTAACTTCGCCTGCTAGACATCCTGGATCTAGAGGTTTCTCATAACTTCTGTATTCCTCTCAGAACTTAGCATAGTGCTTTTCTGCAGTGGTATATGGGGGATCATTATTGGTTCATCCCTCCAGCTCAGAAGCCCCCTCTCACAGTTGACTTCCCAAAATATATAAGAACTTACACAACTCAGTACAAAAAAAATCCTACTGAAAAATATGTGGAGGATTTGAATAGACATTTTTCCAAAGAAGACATACAGATGTCCGACAGGTACATGAAAAGATGCTCAACAGCGCTAATCATCAGGGAAATGGAAATCAAAATCACAATGAGATACCACCTCACACATGTCAGAACGGCTGTCATCAAAAAGGAGAAATCAGTGTTGGCAAGGATGTGGAGAGAAGGGAACCTTTGTGCACTCTTGGAAAGAATGTGAATTGGTGCAGCCACTGTGAAAAATAATATGAAGGTCTCTTAAAAAATTAAAAATAGAAGCATTATATGATCTAAAAATTCCACTTCTGGGTATAATCTGAAGGAAACAACATCACTAACTCGAAGTGGTATCTGCACCCCTATATTCATTGCAGTACTATTTACAATAGACAAGATGTGGAAACAATCTAAGTGTCCATCGATGGATGAATGGATCAAGAAGATGCAGGATATATACAATGGGATATTATTCAGTCATAAAAAGAGAAAATTCTGGCTTTTGCAATAACATGGATGGACCTTGAGGGTATTTTGCTAAATGAAATAAGTCAGACATAGAAAAATTAAGTATTGTACAATCTCACTTACATGTGGAATCTAAAAAAACGAAAAAAAGTGAACTGATAGAAACAGACTGGTGGGTACCAGAGTGGGGATCGGGGGCTGGGATAAGGGGTGACGGTCACCAAAGGATACAGACTTCTAGTAAGATTAGTAAGTCCTGGGGATATAATGTACAACATGATGACTGTAGTCAACAATACTCTGTATTATATTTACAAGTTGCTAAGAGAGATCTTAAAAGTTCATATAAGAAAAACATCTGTAATTATGTGAAATGACAGAGGTTAATTAGACTTATTGTGATAATTATTACGCATATACACATTCGTCAAATTATTATGTTGCATGCCTTAAACAAATACAATGTTATAGGTCCATTAGGTCTCAATGAAATTGGGGAAAAATAATAAAATGGACATTCTTGGTTACTGCGGCTGACTTACTAAGCCAGTATTTCTAGTGTGGGGATCAGGAATCTGAATTTTAATTAGGTTCCAAGTGATCAATAGGCATTAGCTGATAGTTCTTGTGGCAAGACCTACACATAGTTCTGAATCAATCTAAAGATTCACCAGCCTAATGCCCTGGCTTTGCCAGTGATATACTAACTTTGAGGACTTTGTTCCCTGAATTCTGGATGCCATCCTCAAATTCTGGCTATTTAAATTCTGGTAAAACTTTGCAGTCTCCTATCAGAAAAATGAACACCTAAAGCATCTGTAAATACCTTCAAGATGCAGTTATACTAATTTCTCAGGTCCCTTCTTGCAGCTGTCATTGAATCCAGTGTCTGAGTCCAATTTCCTTTACAGGAAAGAAGCCCCTCACAGGGCCTAATAATGTTGCACTACAACTTAAACCTACTTTCTCCTATTCTGACTTCAGGATCAGTGCAAACAACTTTCATGCCTTTAGTTTTAGTCTTAGAATCAGAATAACAGATTTAACTTCATGCATCTTAAGCAGTCTGAGTAAACATAAACTCATCGGGGTTGGGCCAAAATAATTAGATGCTTAGAAGCAATTTGACTTGGTCTTTTTTCTGTTTTCTTCACTGAAAACCAGTAAAAAAGAAAAAAAAATCTATTCCAGTTTATATGGAAGATATTAAGTAAAAGAAAATATTTTCAAGTGCTTCTCTGTGGCCTAAAATATTATGTAGAGGTCTTTATCCTATTATCACAGATGAATACAACACTTAAATATCCCCTTCATGGCTGTTAAGGCACAGAAGAGTCAATACATGCCCAGGGAGCTTTAATCACAGATCATCACCATGATAAACGGTAAAGAGTCAGTGTGGACTATCATGTCAACAGCTATTGGGGGAGTTTTTAATGGGAGCATTGCCAGCATGCAGTTCATAACTACTTTCAAGGAGCACTTCTGGTCTAATGGCTAAATGAGTATCATTAGAGTAACTTTACATGTAGCCTTGCTCAAGAAATTCCATATTTAAAGGAGGCCAGTTATTGTAGTCAGTGTATATAACTGAGGTTGCTTTAGTGAAGCAAATACTGTTTATGGTTTAAAGTAATACTGGTAGAGAGTGAATTAATGGCTTATTAGCAGGTGGACCTACTGAAATTTAAATTTTTCATGACTCATTGCATAAGTCATAATCATAAAGTATTTAAGTGAGGCATGAAGAAAATATCACATAGCTAAAGAATAAAAAGAATCATGAAAACAAAGAGCGGGTTGGAGAGGTAAAAAATTTCTGGTTGGTAAAAACTGATGCTCCACTAAGAGTTTTTACGTTGCCCCAGGTGGCATTCATCATATGCCTTGTTTTCTTTCTTAAAACTTAATTTATAGTTGCAAGGCCAAATAAAAAACTATAGAAAACTGTTTTTAAGAATACTGCATTATTTAAAAATAGCCATTGTGACCAAGAAGAACAGGGAACAAATAAGAAGACCGTTTGAGAAAATAGGACAATCTACAATCCAATCTGAATTTCTTAAAATTTAAAACGTTTTCCTGAATGTTTGAAACAGTATAAAGGAAAACATAACTTAACCAATGAGAAAAAAAAATCAAGCAAAATCTTCTTTGTGTTCTATTAAGTATTTGATGAAGATAAAAGACGTTGTATGCAAATTGAATAAAAGGCTATCTGGCTCTTGAGGGTGGAGGTGCCTGGGGCTTTGGCTCTGTCTTACTTAGCCAGCACAGTAATTTAAAATAATCAAAATTTGAAGATTTGAAGACTCCAGAAAAGTCCATGCAAATAATCCAGACTGCCACAGGCCCCATTGCTCCACATTCTCTTACATGGAACTTCTTCATATAGTAGGTACCCCTCTAGGCCCTTGAGGCTGGGGCTCCTCTCAGAGGCTCTCACTGACTGTGAAAGGGCAGTCAGAGCTGGTGGGCACAGAGAGATCATCTAGTCCAACAGCCTCATTTCACATGATAGAACAGAAACCAAGAAAGGTAATGGATATGATTTAAGACTCCCATTAAGTAAATCCATAGAAACTATGGCGGTATTTGGACTGCTCAGGTACCCAACAACCTTTTGTTCAACATAACTACAAGATTTTACTTGTACACGTTAATCTTGTGCTAAGTTTAACTTGGCTTGGAAGAATAATGATGGCTTCTTGAATTCGTGAATTGTTTTTACTGTGGGTCCCTGCTGCTGGGCAATACCAGAAATACCCATTTTACAACTCTCCCCTTGATAAATGCCACAATATCCAAATATATGCATACATACATGTACATACACACACACACGCGCACACACATATATATTTATATATACACACACACAAAGATTTTTCATTCACTTTCAATAATTCACACAGAACCTTTAAGGCTGCTAGAATTTTAAGATACTATTCAGTTCATCATTGCTTCAAAAACGCAATTTTCTTGGAATACATTATAGCAATATCGGGAACATAGTATGAGGATGTCAGGATTAAAATTTTATTAATAGCTCTAGTAAGACTGGAGGGTAAAATCACGTGTATGTACTTAATAATTTTAACATTTTCAAGCCATGTAAAACTGAGTGCTGAGAAATCTATTTATTCCCTGTAATTTCCCCTTTTCAGTGAGGATTCTCACCATGAATCAGTGCATCTGGCACCCATTTGGTATATTGGGAATCTTATTAATTCAAATGTCCTATGAACTTAAAATTCCCAAAGTCAAATCAATCTCATTAAGTAACAATGGACAGATGTAAGCTATACAACAGCTTTTAAAAGTGCAGCTATATATTGATTATACAGATACTTTCAAGTTGCCTATTTGTTATAAACTTTTATATCAGACTCTGAGCCATATTTAAAAGAAAACACTGATGAAGTTAGTTGTTAAGAATATAGTCAAGAAGAAAAGGGGGACAACTCTTAAAATTACTGTCAAGTATAAACACACTGAGTTACCTCATATTCCTGGGAAAACTTCAAGTTGTCATTTGCTTTCAACCTTTCAATATGATCTGCAAGTTCCAAGATAGGTATTGGAGGATGGCTAGCCATACCTATTAAAAGGAAAGAAGAAACACATCTGAAAACAAATGAAAAGGATGCTAACTATTCCGAAATATAGAGAATACGATAGTTAGAAATGGCCTGAAGATATGTGAGTAGTCGAGATGTTTAAGGTGAGGAAGCAGGCAGATAGTTTGGTTACTCAAAGCAGGACATGCTCTGGGAGGATGAATTTTGGAGCCAAATGAAAAGTCACCAAGCAAAATCCCCAAACTAACACTCCTAGTGTAAAAGAAAGCGTTACTGTGCTATGATCAATGCGGTTAGCTAGTGGAGAACGCTGACAGTCAGGCTTGATGTCAACTTCTGCTTTAAGTAATGACTGTTATGTCATTTCAAACTCCTTCTCCTGCACTGTGTGAAATGGAAATTGTGTGGAATTAAATGGTGTAAAGTGAACTAAGAAAACAGGCACTGAGAAAGGCCTAAAAGGGAAATAGTAAGAGCTTGATAGAAAACATAAAGTGACTTATGCATAATCAAGGAAAACTAACTTGAAGAATGAAGGTTACCAGGGTAACCGGAATCATCTGAACCTGCAAAGGAAATGATGGTGTAAATAAAATAAATTAGAACAAATTTGTTTAAAAAAATGAAATGGATAGTCTGATATACTTTTTAAAGTGACTACTAAAAATGATGCAAGCTTTTACAGGATTCACTACACACTGTGACTAGATTAAGATTGCTTTAATATTTCACAAACCTATAGGTGACTGACATTCACATGCAAACATGGACACAAAGAATGACATGCAGCACAGCTCACAGACAATAATCACTGGTGACAAAATCAGACACCCAAATGAGTTTCAGAAATGTTTCCACTAGTAGCAGATTGTAGGGGTTGGGGTTGCAGCCTTACTCCTGGAGTTTAGAAATGGCCACATTAACAGCTTTGTGGTGTTTTGCCCCAGGTCCCCGTTACTGAACCCCCAGCAAACCTACAATCTACTTCAGGTGTAAACATCTTTGTCCAGTAATGGGAAATGAAAGCAGGAGAGTGAGCAAATGGTGGAAGGACAGGGAGGAAAAGAGGGTGAAAAAAGAAAGAAAGCTGTGATGGGAGGGTGACACATCTTGGTTCAGTCTGCCAGTTGAAGATATATTTGTTTCACACATTTTTAAAAACCATCCACCACTAATTTTGGTGATTCCTGTGTCTTTCCAGTGTTTCCTGACTTTTCACATGATTTGCTCTTTCTTTCTTTCTGATTAATTTTTCAAGAGTTCCCTGAGGGAGCACTGCCCTTGTCTTTTAAGTACAGATTCCATCTGGCTATAGGAACGTGAGCTAGTATGCCCCCAGAGAGGTCTCTGAAGTAGAAAAAGAATGACAGGGGGGCTCAAGTTGGAAGCCACGTTAATACTTCACTGGTCCTGGGTCTCTGGAGGGTGTTAGGCTGTGGAATGGTGACCATCAAGTCAACGTGACATGTGATCACTCCATGGGCATTCCCAAAATATGCCAATATTGAAAGTCATCCAGTAAGTTTCTTTATCTCAAATGCCAAATGATTAATGGTTCTGGTAGGTTAAGTAAAAAAATGATTTTGCTTCTTCCAGGCAATGATTTTAGCACAGTGCTGCAATACGTGATATTTTAGCATTCGTGGCTATGAAGGTCTGCTTTCAGTCGGCTAAAATCTTAATGGAAGATCCAATAAAAATGTGTTGGCTTGGAAGTAGAAACCCTGCTGTGGACTTAATTATGTATTTGGACCAAAATCTTGAAGCCCATTTCTGGAGCTTTTCCTATAGATGGTAGAATTGAACTAATTTACATTCTGTGGAGGGAATGGGTGGGTGACAGTGGTCTAATAAAGTGATCTTATCCAGATGAGTCACCCCCAATGACAAGAATGGAAATGCAAAGCACAAGAGACTCTAGGTGCACCTGGAAATGGAAATGGAATGATGTGGACATCCATTACACTGCTTTAACAGAGAAAATAACAGAGACAAAGATGTTTAGACCTTTTCGAGCGAATCGTGGGAGGGAGTTATTATCATATATGGACTGAGTGGTGGTTTGGCTAGAGAGGGAGGACACAGAGCCAATCAGGGAGGCGTAGGGGACTGAATTACTGCTCAAAGCTGCAAAAAGTAAAGCCAGTTGGAGATGGGAAAAGTATTAGTATAACAGCAGCAGAAAACCGTAATCATCAACTAAAGTTGAGCCCCACATAGTCACTTCAGGCATGCACTGGAAAATGGTCTGGAAGTGCTACTTTGGAAGCTAACTGAGAAATCCAAGCAAACATGCTCTGACCCATTATTTTCTAAATCAGGATATATGTGTATCACGTGCAAACATACCATGGCATTTAAGAATCATTACTTAAGACCTGTCAGTATGTAAAACATTGCACCAAAGTTCTAGGAACAGTAAAATAGCAGAATGGGTATTTCACAGAAAAGGGGTAGAACTTGTGGGCATCTGATGTTATAGGAGAAGGAAACCTGGACTAGAAGACTGGGTGTTGAGTTCTACTTCTAGTTCTGCCATCTACTAGTAGGGACAAATCACTTGTAATCAAGTGACCCCAATTTATTTATCTGTAACAAAAAATGGGGAGCTAGATAAATTCTGAAGTCACTTCCTTCATTATAACTCACGTGTACCTCATGTAGGTAGGATTTCAGAACATATGGAACAACAAAGGGTCTCTCTGAGGTAAAGGTTCTAAAAGTTATTATACTTTTTCTTTGATGGGTGGGGAAGATTAACTTTCTACAAAATAAAAAATTTATGTAATTGAATTGTCAACTTTCTGAATTATTTAATACCATTTTCTTTAGCTAACCTTAAAGTACATTACAATGTTATGTCATGCATTTGAAATAAACAACATAAAAATTATGCTGAGGCATAAAACTGGGCTGAAACTCCTCTAAAATGAAACTCATTAGCTTATACCAGAAAATAATCACCACGGATCTAGTGAAATATACTGTTATATATTCCCCCCAAATGTCTCTAGTGTCTGGTGTGGAAAAAAAATTATATGGTATAATCAAGCATGTTAGATTCTGAGAGAAAAAGCAGACACTAAGAAAACTATGAGGTTGACCTCACTCCAGGATGTTTTCAGTCTTCTCTCTGGCAACCTGGCTACTGCTCACAGTCTACAAACCAGTGCTTTTATTAGACAAGTGTTTTCACATTAGTATCATTTGAGGGTCTTTCAAATTCCTTCTTTCCAGGCTGCACATCAGATCAATTAAGTCAGAATCTCTAGGTGTGGGAAGCAGGCATTGATATTTTTAAAATTCTCCAGTAATGGCTCTCAGTCTTATGGCAAATCCATTTATTTATCTTCTCCATTGAAACATCATATCAGGGTTTATGAGAATGGGATCAGCTTTCTCCGGGTGATACCTCTGAATCTGCTCTGACTGTGCACTAGCTAGCGTTGATACTTTAGCTATTATGAGCAGCAAAGGACTCGAAGTGTGGCTCACAGCTGATGAGGACTTGCCAGGGTCATGGCCTCATCAGTTCAAAGCTACAAATGCACAACATAAATGCATTTTAAAGGCACACATTGAATGTGAGCACAGTTTTCATTTTGAAGCTACAATGTCCATGCTACACACTGTCCACATGAAAAATGACAGATTTCACCACTGAAACTGCCTTGGGTTGGAGGAGAAAACACAAGGGCTACTTTTAATAGTGCACATATTTGCGATAGCAGTATCATGGTGGCTTCCTTAGAAGAAGTAAAACTTTAAAATCATGGCACTTTAAGCAGAGAGGTACCTTAGAGATTACTTAGTCCACATTTTCATTTTATACAAGAGGACTCTGAAGTACAGAGAAGTGAAATGACTTGTGTATTTTAGCCCATCTAGTAAATAAAATCTTAAGTGGTTTTGGCATCTTTCTACCGTATTATTTCTAGAATGGCAGTTATGGTCTTCTAAAGCAGGAAACAGCTTCGCGTGGCCAAAGGGGCCCTGGAGGTGAGGGAGCTGACTGAGGATGACACGTACTGCATTGGGAACCCTTCCACAAAGAAACGTGCTCTCTGTGCAACAAACAGCTTTCTAGGCTCTCTTTTGTTTCCCTTCTCTCAATGGGGGTTCAAGAAAGAGAAATATTTCTCTGTATAATGAAAAATAACAAGTATGAGACAAATGCAACTAACATCGAGTCTCAACGGCAGGGTGGCCTGTAGGGTTGCTGTGAGCCATGGAGAACTTTCAGAAGGGCAAAACTGTTCGGCTCTTGCAGCATCTTCCAAGGGATACTGCAGAGCCAAGAAGTAAGACTTTTCAGGTTTTCCGTAGCCACTGAAAACCCAGAGTATTATGTGACATTTCTTAGTTTTTACTGCTGCCTCAAAATTTTATTGGAACCTGGCAGGCATCAAAGAGAAGATATTTGCAGCCCACATTGGGCTAATTGGATGGTGATCTCTGTTTCAAAAGAGCAAAATGTTCTTCCTTTATGTGAATTAAAATCCTAGAAGGGAGAGCGACAGACAGCATGCTCGCATCCCCAGGCAATGGGCTAGACACCAAGTGTTGTGTGGGGGTGTGTGACAATGTCTGCTTCTCGTGTGAGAGGATCCCCTTCTCATCCTCCAGGGGTTCATCTATCTTCCCCTCCCCTCTCCCATTAATTTTGCCAAGTAGGAAACTGAAGCTCAGAGGCATAAAAGGACTTGATCAAGGTGATCATTTCCAGTAAAATTATGAATAAACAGTGGCCTTGATCCCAGACTGTGTCACTTCTTATTTAGGGCTATTCTCATTATGCCATTCTATCCTGTAAATCATTTAATACCTGGGAGGGTGGTACCATGTACATAAATATGGACTCAAGAGACTATTTGGGCTCTTTATGCAGTAATAACAGAGACCACAAGCCATCCTAAACTTGAGAAATTGTGTCAATATTTCAACAGCTTCATTTAGAAGGTACATATGTTTTAGAGGTAGAGAAGCAGTGAAGGGTGCTCATACGCTGTGTTTTCCAGTTACTTCTAATTAAAATACTGTGAGCTTCCATGAAAACATGAACTAAAGGGATACATTCAAAATGTTAGAAGTAGTAGTGCTATCTGGCAGAAGACTGTTTTTTAAAAACCATAATTTACAATGCTTCTGCTTTTCAAACGGTCTATTTTACTAAGCTGATGATCTAATCAGTAGTGTGATTCAAATGACTTTTTTTTTATAGAGAAACGTTTGTCGAATCCTTACCTTATCTTTGCACATTTTTTAATGAATTAAATTCCAATAGGCACTTTACAACTTTACAACTACTTTGCCAAGTAAAGGAAAATTCATTTGTTCATCAGATCAATGACTGCAGCTCTGCCCAAAGGGTACTTAACTGAATTAACAGCCACAGAGAGAAACCTAGTTTGTAAAATATTGGTCAGATTTTCACATAATTTAACTATGTAGAATACCCTGAGATAGAAATACTCTATTTTTATGATTTGTCTCACAAATGGGTGAAGAGTTAAAGACAAGAGAAACCATCGATTCATAAGGCTTAACTGCTTCTTGGCAAAACAAT